ACCAATACCAGTATAAAATACTGTGTATTTGGCCACTGTACTGAACAGTGAATCTGACATTTGTTTTAGATAAAATAATTTTCGAAGCACTTTTCATACAAAAACTACTAAAGATGGGAATTTTTGTATCGCAGCCATATGATATCGTAATCATGTGAAAATTTGCAGAGGTTAATTTTTCACAAAAAGTTAACATTCTGAACGTTTGAAGAAATTTCAATGCATATTAAGGGTACTTCCCATACAAAATTTCGTTTTTGAGCGAAAAATCCAAAATTTTGTTCGGGAGGTACCCCTAATATGTGTTGAAATGTCTTCAAACTCTCGGAATGGTATTTTCGTGTGATAAACACAACCTGTGCAAAGTTTCAGCTCATTACGATATCATACAGGCATGGCTTCCATACAAAAATCCAAATTTTTTGAAATTTTTGTATGAAAAGTGTGTCGAAAATGAATTGTATCGCAAAAACTTACGTCATATTCGGTTTTATCGTACCCAAAAACCCTCCATCACACATTTTTGAGTGTTTAAGAATACATTAAATATCACTTTTGGAAGAAAAATTGAATTTTTCCCATGGATGGCCATGGGCATCACACCAGACATGACACGGCATTCTATCGACCAAAGTCGCTCAAAATCTAATGGTTTCTATTCCTCGGCACCCCCAATCATCCTGTGAAGTCACATTTTGAATTACTTTTCATGTTTGAAAGTTATCGTGTTAACAAATTTTTGCGTACAGCGAACAGCGAACAGCGTACAGGGTACGCACATACATTCGGACATCGAAAAAACGCTAGATTCGTGTTCCCTGGCCCCAAAAACACCCAGAAAACACATTTTTTATGGTTTTTAATTTTTCGACCGATTCCAATACTTTACCTTACACACTAGATGTGTGCGGAAAAGTAATCTATAAGAAAGCATGGAATGCTGTGACTCCTCGCCGGAATTAAAGATGTGATAAAAAATGGGTTTAAAAAAATGGAACAAAAAAAAGTATGCAAATCAGTCCGTACATTTTTAAGCGTGCCATACATGTTGTTTACTTCATAAAGTGGATGCGATTCGTGATATGGAGATAAATAATTGCGTTTCATTAATATTTTATGCAAAATTCTGCAGTTTATTTTTTTTGATAATGAGTCGAACTATGTACTTCCCGGCTGGACTCTGTTCGTTTATTGTACTTTTTACCCGGCCCTCGCAACTATAACTGCGATAAGTTCAGTTCATCTGCGTCTTTTATTTATTCAAGTCGTTTTTCTAATCAATTTATTTTACAACTATTGTCAATATCCAACCTCCATCACAACAAAAAATGAATTCAATCTCTCGTATTGATTCAGTCGGTTTCAACTTTAAAATACGATTATATTGGTGATTGTATCTACTCGGATGCGGAATATATTGGTAAATGTAATTTGACGTTAATATGTGTCAATAGCAATCGTTTTAATAAATTTTTTGAAGCGAACAAATCTTCGGTAAATATACGCTGAGTTGTATGTCACTCATAAACGTCAGTTAAAATCGTACGTAGTCACACAGATAGCTGGCTAACGATTGGCATACACCAGTTGTTGGTGTAAACCAATGCTAAGACAATGCTGGAGGTTGGTGTTGGCACGTTTTCACACCAAATTAACATTAAAACTTTGAATTTATCAAATAATAAGATAAAAACGTTAAACTCCAATATTTTTCCAGTGCAATCAAGACAGTTTGATAAACTTTTCGTTGGGAATAATCAATTGAACGAATTGGATGGTTTTGCAAGCTCAAGCTATTCGAAAATCGTTGGACTTCAATGTACACGATTTGAATGTAGATTTTTGGACGCTGGAAGTGAAATCATCAATTGGAGTAAGTTGAACAACATTTCGAGGAAAATAAAATGCGTTTTTTTATCATGAAAATATGGAACATGCTGACGTCGTACTAGAAGGAATTTCTTCTTCAAATGATGCAGTACAAAGTAAAGAGTGAAAATCCAGAAAGTCAAGAGGAAAGCATCAACTCACAAACTGTCGAAAGTAACAATGGATCTCTTAAACAATTACTTTTAATGACATGGATTAATACTGTGTGTTTGATTATTTTTGAATTTGTATTAATTTGGATGGGTTATCTGGGGCATGGTTTGACGTTTTTTTGGAATTGATGACATAAAAAAATCGGTATATTGGTGACAATAGATTCAGTATTGAAACAATTTATTTGAATTATACTCAATACTTGACACCGACCTAAAAAATTTTTTTTGTAAAATTGACAGTAAAAATTGAGTAAATATTATTAATAAAGATCGAATTAAATGCTAATAAATCAATTGTTTTTCTTAATTTTGTAGAATCTTCGCGCATCCTTTGTAAATTTTTGGGTATTTTGGTAGTTTTTGTCTCATTTTATAGTCTATCAAAGCATAACATGTCAATTTGACGTTTTGAAGATGTTTTCCTTCTAAAAACTCTTATTTTTCAACTAACTTTATGACGACTTTTGAAAAGACTGAGGGTAATTTTCGTCGTTGATTTAAGGTAATGGATCTGAATTTGATCGTTTCACTGAAACTGGATGTGATGAACTGGCACGTGACTTTGGTGTTGGAATCGGATTGCCATATACACCAGGAAAAAGAATGGGATACTCGGGTCGAGGTGCTATTAATGGCTCTTCTACTGATGGTTCTGGCGGGTGCGGTCCTATAGGTGATATAGATGCATTCGGAGCCGATATTGATATTGGAGCTGATGCATCCGGCGATAAAACTTTTTCTTGACTGTTTTGTCCAAGACAAGTCAGCATCAATGGAAGGCAAGGCTTCTTCTTTTTCTTATCTAATTCGTGGCTTTCGACATTTGCCATCAAAAACTGTAAATATAGTATATGAAAATAAATGGAACAAGAATGTGAGTAAAGAGGTAATGTCAAATGCCCTTATAAAGTCCCCAACGCAGTTTCTTACACCCTTTTACTCACACACAAACAAAACAAAATGTCAAAAAACAGCTGATCGAGCGAACCATTCATAACCAACTTCATGCTACTTGTAGATTTGGAATGAAAATAATGTTTGAAATTTCTTTGATATTTTGAAAAAATGAACTAATTATTTTGGACATTTTTAGTATGTTTAGAATAAAATAAATTTTTAAACATTTTTTGTACTAACAATATTTTAATAAACATTCACTTATTATTTAATTTTCACAATTTCTATCAATTCACAAATTATGATTCTTAGCACTAGCATGAAGTTGGTAATATGTCAACCTTAAATCATTCATATAAAAACATATTGTGTTCACGCACACATAAATGTTGGGGACTTTTGACAATTCCACTTTCTCGACATTTTTCGATTCATTTATGACAAAAAATTGTGAGTAAATGAAATGAATGAGCTCAATATATTCAAATATTAAGCTTTGAGATCTACTCCTTTCACACTAGGTTTGTGCGCAAAAGTAAAATATTCACCTCGCAAATGATCAATCCAACCAATGCCAATGTGATCAACTTTCTATAAACCATTATTCTTGATGAAATTGGAGCAAAATTGAAAATAAATTATGAAAATGGTTTTTAGCCAAAAAAAATTTAAGCACTCTAGACGGTTGAATGATTACTGGAATATTTTATCGTTCGGCTTCTCCTTTTATACACGGTAGCAATAATAGATTGAATTCAATGGAAATTTTTTAGCATTCGTCGTTGTTTATCAATATTTTTAACGGAATGTTTTTAATTTGTCAGAATTAGGTAAGTACGTCAATATTTTTGTATTATAATATTCTATTTGCTTGTTTGTTGTTCAGACGGTAAATATTTCATTTCGAAATTGTGACATTTGAAGAAAATGTGAAAAAAAAAAAAACAAATGATAGAGAATGTATTATTCAAATGAATAATAATCTATATTTCATAAGGCCTAAAGAGTTTTTTTAACATTTCGTTTCTCGTAATTTATTAGACCGGAAGAAGCCCAGAATAATGGTGCGAAATCGTGGAAAATTATTGAATACTAATTATTTACATTTCAATGAAACAAATAATATTTTTTGCCCTTGCACGCACCTCTCCCATGGAGCCAAATAAAAAAAAAAACAATGTTTGTTGTCGGAATACATGGATTCATCATAGTCATGGATAAAATTTCTACTTATTTATAGACGTCATTGCAAAAAATTCCGAATAAATTAGTATAAACTGAGTACGAAAAATAATAATCGATAAGAAATTCTTTGTTTATATTTTGGAATTATTCAGCTTGTGAGTTAGAAGACTTTTTTGCAATTTCTCACTGTGACGCAATGTTTTGATATAACATTTTGATGACTCTTACATTTAGATCGACGCAATAAAACCCATACTAAAGAGCTAGATGGTGTCGACACGAGTGGTTATTTGCGAGAATCAAAAATCATGCCCCCATAACCTCTTGAGGATGGTCATAGAAACACGACTATGACAACGGTTTTGAAAAAAAAAAAAAAAAAATTCACACCGCGCCAGACCGATTTACATGTTTTTTTCAAATTTTCATGAAATTTGACCATTTTTAAAATTTACAAAAAAATTCTTTCTCCGCTGTAAAAATATGTACTGGGGGGTTTTTTGGCACGAGGAATCCGAATATGACGTTAGTTTTGTGATACAAATAATATTCGATGCACTTTTCATACAAAAGTCACCAAAAATATGGGAAGAACTCTTTATTCGCATTAAAATTTCTTTAAATTTGATGAGATTATTTATTTTGGCAAGATACTGGTGGCGAATTTGTGAATCTCATTTTCTCAGTCGAATCGGCAGTCATCTGAGTGCACTACAGCCGGTGAACCATGCCCAAAGCGCAACAGTCAGCTGGCAAGGGCGTCTTTATTTTGGGATGCGCATGGAATTTTGTTCATCGACTACCTTGAAAAAGGCAAGATCATTAATAGCGAATATTATATAGCGTTATTGGTGCGTTTGAAGGAAGAAATAGCTAAAAAACGGCATCAAATGGAGAAGAAAAAAATTCTCTTTCACCAAGACAATGCACCGTGTCATAAATCGATCGCAACAATGGCAAAATTGCACGAATTGCACATTGAATTGCTGCTTCATTCACCAGATCTAGCACCGAGAGACTAATCGTTCTATAAAAAAGGTATCGAAATGTTAGAGAAGCGCTCTTGAAGGAGACTATGTTGATGAATAAAGTCGAATTTTGCAAAAAACTGTGTTCTTCTTAGTTAGAACGGGGACTTATTGAGTAATGTGTTATTTCAGATGATAAAACCATATTTTCAAAAACACACACTTATTGTTGCTTCAACACGCGTAATAAACTTGCTTTATCGCAAGGTTCACTCAATATAATTGTCCGTTATGCGATAAAATATACAATTGAAAAGTAAAGTACCACATGCGTAGTCAGTTTTTTTTTTGTCAAATTTTTTATAGAATTTGTTTTCATTGATATTACGTACAAACCGAATTGTAATGATAATGATTTGCTGTATGCCATTTATATTTCAAACGATTTTGTACTGACTTTGAAAATCAAAAATTATTGAAAGATTGCGATTAGTCCTGATTAGTAACAGTCTAGTAATACTAACTCAGTATTAATTTTAATTTTGAAAGAAGTAGTTCAGTAGCACTTACTCTCTTTTTTGCATTTAAGCAAATTTAAAATGATCGCATTATATTTGATAATTGTTGCACTTAGCGTTTTTTATTTGTGGCTAAAGCGTGTGTACAATTATTGGGAACGACTGGGATTTCCATCGATAAAACCGACGATTCCGTTGGGTAATTTATCGGATTCGTTCCTCGGTCGAAAATCGATCGGCAAAGAATTGTATGACCTTCATCGCAGTTCAAATAAACCTGTTGAAGGTGTTTATTTTCTTTTTAAGCCGGCCCTATTGTTCCGCGATGCAAAACTTATCAAAAATATTTTAACCACCGATTTTGCGAGTTTCTATGATCGTGGCTTTTATCACAATCCAAAAGACGAAGTGGCCGGAAATATGTCCATGAAATCGGGACAAGATTGGAAAAATTTACGCGCAAAACTAACACCAGCATTCACATCAGGCAAACTCAAAGCAATGATGCCAACAATCATTCAAATTGCACAAAATCTCAACCGAAAACTCTCACCATCTGCTCAGAACAATGCCATCGTTGACATCAAAGACCTCACGATCAGGTATGCATACATTTTTCTATCTTTAAACGAAATCGGGAAGAAACAAAGTCACCTTGTCTTGTGTGTTTCAAGTGAAAATGTGCTAAAAAAATGTAAATTTACCCATTTTTGGACCTTTTTTGGATTTTTTTGGTATTATAATAATTTGTCAAGCGCAAAAACGACGTAACATCTCCTAGGAGTTCTAGGCTAGAACATCTCCCAACTAAACCTTATTATCGATTTTTTCCAATTGTGAATCATCAAATTAAATCATTGCTATGATCATATCCTTTTTACTTTCCTCATCAGATTTGCAATGGATGTTATTGGAACGGTCGGCTTTGGCATAGATGTAAACACTATTGATGAACCAAATCATTCATTCCGGAAAATCGAGGAGCAAATATCCAGTGGAGAGTTCATTAACCGAATTCGTTTGATCGGTGCTTTTTTCTGTCCAAAGTAATAAGCAATAGTCTTACTTGGTTTGTCTTACTTGGTTTGAATTTATTCAGTTGTTTTCTGTGTTCTCTTGAATAGACTTCTCGAAATTCTTGGCATGTCATCGCAGTCAGGAAAGTTTAAGAGTTATATGCTTGATCTGGTTAAAAATACAATGGAATATCGCGAGACAAATAATGTCATACGAAAAGATTTTATTCATTTGTTGATGCAATTGAGAAATACTGGTAAAGTGGACGAAGACAACGACACTGCATTTGAATCGATTTCCAAAAACGAATCGTTGTTCAAATCTATGTCAATTGAACAATGTGCTGCAGAAGTGGCTTTGTTTTATTTAGCTGGCTTTGATACTACATCATCAACCGTCGCATACACTCTATTCGAATTGTCGCGAAAGCCAAAATTATTGAAAAAACTCTACGATGAAATCGATAACGTTCTGGCCGAACATAATAATGAAATCACATTTGATGGCATCAAAGATATGACATTTTTAGACATGTGCGTCAAAGGTAATTCGTTAAAAAGCACTCTAAGTGTGAAAATTGATTAAATAAATAAGGTTGTATGTTCTAGAATCGGTTCGCAAGTATCCAACATTACCGTTTTTGAATCGAATATGCACCAAAGACTATCGAATTGAGAGCGTGGGTTTAACTGTGCCAAAAGGAACAGCGATAGCAATTTCAATACTTGGGTTGATGAGAGATCCAGAATACTTTCCTGATCCCCAGAACTTCATGCCTGATCGTTTTTCCGCCGATAAACCAATGTTCAATCCAGATGCATTTATTCCATTCGGAGAAGGGCCAAGAGCATGCATTGGTATTCATTTTTTATTAAATATTCCTAGTGGTCCATGTGAAATTATTTTATTTGTTTCTTTTAAATAGGTGTACGTATGGGCAAAGTTGTAGCTAAAACAGCTCTTATATCAATACTAAAAAATTATCATTTCGAATGCGTGGACGATCGTGAATTAGTTATAGCCAATAATGGTATTACAATGGTCATGGATGGAAAAATTAATTTGAAAATATCCAATAGAATGCCGTAGATGTAATATACAAAGTCCACAAACTAATAGTTTTTGATCGCTATAAATATTGAATAACCAACATAAGCCAATTAAAATAACAAAAAATCAATAAAAGTGTCATTTTGAAAAGTTTGAAGAAATTTTAATGCATATTTCGGGTAATTACCATACAACATTTTCGCTTTTGAACAAAAAAATCCAAAATTTTGTTCAGGAGGAAATTTTTGAAATTTTTGTATGGAAGCCATGCCTGTATGATATCGTAATGAGCTGAAACTTTGCACAGCTTATATTTTTCACACAAAAATAACATTCCCAGGTTTTGAAGAGATTTCAATGCATAATAGGGGTACCTCTCGAACAAAATTTTGGTTTTTTTGCTCAAAAACGAAAATTTTGTATGGAAAGTACCCTTAATATGTATTGACATTTCTTCAAACTTTCAGAGTGTTAGCTTTTTGTGAAAAACATAACATCTGCAAATTTTCACATGATTACGATATCATACAGGCATTGAAAAGTCTATCAAAAATTATTGGTATCGCAAAACTTATACCAGATTCAGTTTTCTCAGTGCGGAAAAGTTCATCTTATGGATGTAAGACATTTTATTTTACGAGATTTAATCGGGTAAAATATAGTTATAAGAAGTCGTTGGCTGTCCCATCGGCATAAACGTTGGCCATTCGTCAAATTTGTAAAGTATAACTTAAAATTTATTTTGTATGCGAAAATTTCAACACAAAGCATTCGATTGATCTGATAAAATTATGTGTAAAAAATGCTATGCTTTTCTAATGAAAAGAAATATAAATAGGTCATTTTATATTGATTTCACATGAAATAATATTATTACAGAGAAAATTTCACTCTAGAGTTAGCACTTCGTGCCTTCCCCCTAAACATGTGAACAAAAGAGAAAAAATCATTTTTTATTGAATTCTCTTATCTTTTAAACTGATACAAAGACATTATAATTTCACATAATATTTAAGTGTCTTCACGTGTCAAGTATAGCTAAGCGAGAAACACGGGTTATCAATATTTGATACAATAAAGGCTTAAGTTGATAATAAATGTTACACAATCAAGTGATTTATCACTGATAAATTATCAGTAACGAACTGGTTCAATTATAAAAGCAGTTTTAACAACAAATCAGTAACAAATTTATTTAATGACCGATAAGACCACAAGAAAAATTAATTTATTTTCATCAGATTTCAATTTAGGAAATACATAAATGTTAAACTATCTATAGAAAATAGATTGAAACATTCGTGTTCAGTGAATGAATAATTAGTTAAAACTTATTGAAAATGAAGCTTTTGATATCATTGCTGTTAATTATTGAGGTATTGACTGACAGTGGCTTCAATGTACCAAATTCTATCAAAGAAAATGTTGTACAAATAGAAGGTGTTAGCTATCGTTTGAATACAGATGTTCTACCTAGTGATTATGTGATTAACCTAACACCATACTTCGACAATGTCGAAGGCAAAGAACCATTCACCTTCGACGGAAATGTGACAATTACATTGAACGCGACCAAGTCTGATGTCAAAACAATCACTCTTCACATCGAAGATCTTGATATTTTGAACGTATCTATAAATGTCAAATCAAACGTTTTCACCCAGCTTTCATCGAATAAAACTGTGCAAATTGTTGATAAAGTGTATGAAGAAAAAACCAATAAACTAAGCCTTAAACTATCCGAGTCACTTGATATTTCTGTAAAATATGAACTTCATTTCATATATACGGGCAAATTGAGAAGTGACATGCTCGGTTTCTATCGCAGTTCATACAAAGAAAATGGTGAAACAAAGTAAGTGATTTCGAAGACGAATGTGTATGTTGAAAATGAATATTTCAATGTTTTAAATCAGATGGTTGGCTTCAACTCAAATGTCAGGGATACACGCTCGTAAAGTTTTCCCCGGCTTTGATGAACCACGTTTCAAAGCAACATTTAACATCATTATGAATCGACCACGCCATTTTCAGCCAACGCTCAGTAATACTCGTATTAAATCATCCACTGAATTTGGGTAATTCATTTAATTTTCATCCAGATATAAAATAATTCATATTTGGTTTTCATTGGTTTCGATTGTTCTACAGAACAAAGAGAACTATCGAAATTTTCGAAGTATCCCCAAAAATGTCAACGTACTTAGTTGCTTTCACTGTATCAGAGTTTAAATGTCGTGAAAATGACGATCACACATTTGCTGTTTGCTCTCGTCCAAATGCATTCGAACAAACGGAGTACAGTTTCGATGTTGGACAAAAACTTTTGGCAAAATATGATGAGAAATTCGCTTACAAATATAATACTCACATGAACAAAATGACTATGGTTGCTTTGCCGGATTTCGCTGCTGGTGCTATGGAGAATTGGGGTATTATTCCATTTTATTTATTCACTTTGTTCACTTTTCAATGGGTCAAGCTTATTCGATTCAGGTTTACTATCTTATCGTGAAACTGCACTGCTTTACGATGTCAATGTTTCATCTGCAATAGCTCAACAAAGAGTAGCAGCAGTTGTTTCACATGAACAAGCTCATATGTGGTTCGGAAATCTGGTAACTTGTGATTGGTGGTCACACATATGGCTGAACGAAGGTTTTGCCACATATTTCCAATATTTTGGCACAGTTTTGGTAAGATTATTATATTTTTCTAACTAAAAAGAAATAAAGTCAAAATTATTTTTAAAGGTCGAGGATAGTTGGGATTTAGAGCAACAATTTATTGTTGACAAACTTCAAGTTGTTTTTGTTGATGATTCATTGGAAAACACGAAAGCACTTTATCATGATGTAAATATACCAGATGAAATTTCTGGATTGATTTCGTACAATAAAGGTGGCTCGGTAATTCGGATGTTTGAACATGCTTTTGGACGTGATGAGTTTACTAGTGGGCTCAGACATTATCTTAGGAAAAAGTAAGTTACTTAAATGCATTTTATTCAATCTTTCGAGATTAAAGAAAAATATGTGGTCAGTCTGTGCATTAGCGTCGAAAATATAGAAAAATGTGTTTTTTTGTTGATAGCTTATACTTTGTTTGAGTTAGGCATGGTACACAGATGGCGAAAACGATTTTAAAGTTTGAATATGTATCAAACAATTAAATAACTTAATGGCCGTTTTTTTTTCACTTTAAAATAGTGCTTTAGATACATCTGTGCCCGAAAAACTGTATGCAGCCTTCAAAGACATAATTGTTGATTTTGAAAATATTGAAGATTTTATGAAGAGCTGGGTTGTGAATGCTGGTTATCCGGTTGTGAATGTGAAGATTTCCTTTGATCAAGGCATTACAAAGATGACATTGACACAAAAGAGATTTTTACAGAATAATCCAGAACATGGAGATAAGACACTTTGGTCTATTCCAATCACCTTTGCAACGAATAAATATAACACAAATTTCACAAATACAAGACCGACGACACTCTTCAACGAAGAAAAACTACAGATTCAATTAACAGATCCAATCGAATGGATTGTACTTAATGTACAACAAACGGGTGAATAAATCAAAGAAATATTGTTTGTTTATTTGCTTGCTATCCAATCTATCAAATCAATTGAAAAAAAGGAGCTCTCATTTTATTCCAAATAACAGTTGAAAACTCAAAAACGCAACATGAAAGGTATTGCGTAAAGCTAGTGCCCGTTATTGTTACGTTTCTGGACGTTTCATTTTTTTAGCCTTCAAATTTCAAAGTTCGTTCCTGTATTTTCACATTTATTTCTATGGGCACAATTATGAGTTATTTCTATCGTCATACCATGCGAAAAATAATTATACCTACCTTTCTTATGCAGGTTACTACCGTGTGAATTATGATGACGCCACATGGGCTGCGCTGGACAGGCAATTGTATGGATCAATAAACAAAATTCATGTGCATAATCGTGCACAGGTGATACAGAGTTTTTTTCCTTCGCAATTTTTCAAAATTATTTAAAATCGTTCATACAGAGAAAAACGGTCGTGTTCCCAAAAATGACAAAAGTTTTCTTTATGTGACCTAATTTAACATTAAGAAATGTTCATTGAGAATGTAAAGTTGAATCATTTCTTTTATCTTTAGATCGTTGACGATGCATTAAATTTGGCTCGCGCCCGTCAACTAAGCTATTTTCAAGCCTTACATACAATCGAATACCTTCAAAATGAAATCGATTACATTCCATGGTTGGCGGCATTCAATAACTTTGAATTCGTTTTGGCTCGTTTCAAAATAGAGGAAGCTGCAATATTTAAAGTATGTTTTGATCGAAATACACCTTAAAATGCAATGGTGCACATAATAAACAATGATGTTTGGTTTTAGAAATTTATTTTAGGTCTTTTGAATAACGTTTATTCACATCTTGGATTTCACCCAAAAGACAATGATACTCGTTTGGATATTTACAATCGAAATCTTATTTTGAAATACGCATGTAAATTTGGTCACAAACAGTGTGTTGCTGATTCACGCACTGAATTCGATAAATTTTTGATGGAAAATCACAAGTAAGTTAAAATGAATTAACAATATTCCAAATTAAAATGTAAATTTATGATTTTTATATAGGATCCCCGTAAATTTAGTGCCGGTTGTCTATTGTTCAGTCATTAGCGAAGGATCGAACAAAGAATGGGATTATTTTTGGGAAAAATTCAAATCTGAGAATGTGGCGGCTGAACAAGTTTCAATTTTGAGCGCATTGGGCTGCACAAAACAAGCAAAAGTTTTATTGGTAAGAAAACATTTTTCAGTATTGTTCAGCAAATTCACGATATTGTATTATTTTGAATTTATTAATTCAATTTACTTTTATTTTTAGCAATACTTGGACAACATTTTATCCGACGATATTCGGTTGCAAGATAAACATGCAGCATTCGTATCAACATTAACACAGCCGGAAAATCTCGATTTAGTACTCGATTTCATAGTAAAAAATCCAGAAAATATCAATAAAACGTAAGAATAATCATTCAATTAGAAATTCATTTCATTGATTGATATTTTTTTCTGTTCTTTAATAGTTTTGAATCGAAGAATGAGGTGCCACAAATGTTATCGTTAGTGGCCGCAAGATCAACTACTAATGAACAAATCAACGAAATTGAACATTTTGTAGATGAACATAAATTAAATGACGAAAATCTTAAAACAGCCCTTTTAAATGCAAAATTAAACTTAAAGTGGGCTGAAGAACATATTCCAATTATAAAAAAGTATTTGAAAATGAAAATAAACCCATAGAGAAATCAGAAGTAACTACGTTCTTTTCTTATCTTAATGTATGTCCTTATTTGGCCGAATCTGATTTGTTGGCTTGTAGACGATCCTCAATTTCTTGTACTATTTCCATCACTGTTGGTTGGTTTATTGAAAGAAACTGATGGCACATTCTGTGTGAATAATAATTGTTGGTAAAAATGAAAATTAAATGGTAAATTTTTGCCAATAAATTCATGTATTCTTGATTTCCAATACTCCATGAAATTTATTTACAGACATTTTTTTAAACAAAAAAATCGACCATTAATTAACATTTGTATTCAACATTGAAGTGTACTTAATATGCATTTGATTAAAAAATAATTAGTTTTTAATTCACGAATTTAGCATTTTTACAAAATTTACAGTTTTTTTTCTTTTTGAATTCAAAATAACAAAGGATCGAGTACTATCTGTCAAAATATTTCCCCCTATGCCAAGCGAAATTAATTCGATATACGGCGCTGATGTAAATGTCACTCTGTCATTTCACAATAATACTTTTTTGGCTTGACAATATATAAGCTCTTCATTTAAAATGCATACACATTCATAATTATTGAATCGTTGAAAAAAAAACATGTCATAAAATATTTTTCTAACATTTTTCATTAAAAAATTTATTAAAAATTTTTTTTTATAAAAAAATTAATTTGTTTATAAATTACAATAATTTCAACAAAACATGTTTCATCGATTAAATAAGAATCCAATGTAAATAGTAATGACAATGCGAAACCTACCGTAAAAATGTTACAATTCCAAATAAGTTTCCTTTTCTATTTTAACGGTAGGTGTCGCATTGGTATTACTTTTTACATTAGATTCTTGTTCAATCTATGAAAAAAAAATTGAAATTATTGTTATTTTTAAACAAATAAATTTAAAATATAGAGAATTTTTATGATAAACGTAAGAAGAATATTTTATGATATGTTTCTTTTTTTTACTCGACCGTTCAAAAATTATGCATGTTGAATGAATTAAGAGCTTATATATTGTCAAGCCAAAAAATGTATCATTGTGGAATGACATAGAGTGACATTTAAATCAGCGCTGCATATCGGATTTATTTCGCTTAGCAAAGGGGGAAACGTCGTACTCGCTCCTTTGTATGATACTCTAGCCATGACTTCAAAAACCAGCGGGAAGTATTTTGGGACCATGTCTCTTCATTGTTTTTATTAACGACATTGTCGAAATCGTGTCAAATGCACTTGTTTTATTATTTGCAGATGATTTGAAATTAATCCGAACCATACAATCGCCTATAGATGCAATCATATTTCAGAATGCCATTAATCAATTGAGCGAATGGTGTACTGAAAATAGTCTGCATTTGAACTTGAAGAAATGTTTCGTTATGACATACTCAAAATGCGGAAACATAGTCAATTATGATTATACGATCAACAACGGCCAACATACATTTGAAAGGATCAACTTACACAAGGATCTGGGAGTTATATTTGACACGAAGCTGAAATTTGTCAATCACATCGACGCAATTACAGCCAGTGCACATGGGGCAATGGGTTTCATCAAACGAACATTAAAGAATAAGTTTACAATTGAATCTGCTAAAATATTATATTGTGCACTAGTCAGATCAAAATTAGAGTATGCGAGTATTGTATGGCAACCATATCACCGTATCCATTCCAATAGAATAGAATCAATTCAGAAAGATTTTTTGATATGGACATTGAGATTTATTTACCAAAGAGATGAAAATTTTGTGCTACCACCGTATCAATTTAGATGTGATGTTTTAAATATTCAACCGCTTTGGAGACGGCGTATAAATGCCTCTGTATATTTAATTTATGACCTCCTTTTGGGTAAAATAGTGTCGAGTTCACTTAGAAATAAAATTGTATATACAAGACTGCAATATGACGAAAACCAAAGAAATTTAAGAAGTACAGAACTGATTAGAGTTAGGGCATTTTCATCGGATTATGCACATAATCAGCCGTTTTACGTGGCTTGTAGAAACTTTAACTTGATAAGAGAAACATTTTTAGAATCGGCATCAAGACACATCTTTAGAAACAATATTGTCAAATTAGAAAATGTGATATTCGATCTGTGAAAAATTTAACTTTTAACTTTTATGTGTTATTTAGAATATAGAAATTAAAACAGTGAACACAATCGATATCTGCTACTCCGAAGTCGAAAAGGCTGGTAGCTGGATATACGATCGGGTGGTGTTTCATTGTGAATGATATTGTACAAATTTTGTGATTAATTCAGTCTGTGATCAGACGGTGAATAAATAAATAAATAAATAAATAAATAAATGATATAAGCTACGTCCGTGGGAGAAATATCAGAGACCATATTTGTCTTTTTTGATTCACATTGAAAATACAAATAATAAAAAGATAACAAAAAGTACACCAAGAATACCAAACACAATCCATGTAAATGAACATATAGGTTCGGGTTTTGGTTTGCAATTAATCTTTGTGAATTTGGTGTCATCATTCATGCGATCAATCGGGTATTTAGATGTCAAATTAATACATTTAAACTCTTGATTTTTAACTGTATTTGAATAAGTCGACCACATTAGTCCATTCACTTCTTCTACTGGATTATGTTCAATTGACATAAACTCGATGTTCCCCATCAAATCCGAAAACATGTTACCGTTGAATTTCGAAATGTTGTTGTGTGCCAAATCCAATCTCACCAAATTGATTTGAATGAAAAATGCGTACGGTTCGATGCTGGTCAGTTTATTGTGTGATAAATCCAAAGACTTCAAATCAAAAAGTTTCCTAAATAGTTCGTTATTAAGATTTGATATATTATTATTTGATAGATTCAAAAATCTTAAATGGACGCTATTGTTGAATGCTCCATTTTCAATCGTTTCGATTTGATTGTAAGAAACATCCAAAGAGTGTAACAGCATGCACCGTTGCTGCACAAATGTTGAATTAATTATTATAAGCTCGTTGTGCGATATATTCACAGACTCCAACTTCTCTCCAAAAATTCCGTATTTCACGCTTTTAATTTTGTTAAATGACAAATCAATGGTCTTTATATCACAGTCATTGGTCGATGATCTATCGAATTTCGGTATTTCGGTGATATTATTTTGCGATACGTCCAAATTGATCAAAGTATAAGGTAATTTACCCAACATTTTGATAATTTTATTGTTGGCCAAATTTAGAATATGCAACCCAGTCTTAAAATCCGATGAGTTGATTTCAGTAATTTTGTTGCCGGAAAAATCGATTTCAATGGTTATGCGAAAGTTGCAGCTTCGAAGAAATTTTGTTGGCAATTCAGTGAATTGATTTTGAGCTGCCACAAAATGAACAGAAGAATTATGGCCGGATTTACATTCTATGTCTAGTGACTCTATTCCCAGACCCGATATATTAAAGTTGTCGATATTGTAATCATTAAAGATATTTTTCGGGATTTGTGGCCGTTCACAATTTTCAAGAATCACTTTGGTAATCCAATCGCTACTGTCTTTATCATCCGTACATTTGATGTCATTGTTGTCTGAAGAAGAGCTCTCTGAACAATTGAAAGTTAACTTTTGATCTGAATGGTAACAATCGGTAATACTTGGATATTTTTTACAATAAACCTGGCACCGATGGCCAAAATGAATAAAATCACATTTTGTTTCATTTCGTCGATAGATCAACGACATAGAGAACAAACAAAAGATGACTGAATTAACTCCTGAACTGTGACATATTTTAATGTTGTTATCGCGTCTCACAATTTATTTTAAAGAAAAAAATATAGTTTTTTGATGTTTCAATAAGAAGCTAAGAAGTTTCATGTACGTGGCCAGAAATTAGTAAGATAAGAGAAGTGGAAAAAAAGATGAACTTTCAAGTAGACGAAAAAATATTTAACAAACAAAATTGAAATACTATAGTATACATACAACTTGAATATGTTTTTCTATCAGAGTAATCATTATTTTGTTTTTTGTCACGGGTATTTTAAGCTGTAGCATGCATGCACAAATGGTTCTGTGATAATCAAATTCATTTATTGCTAGGAGGTAGACACATGGAATATTACTTGAGATATTCACCGAAATTGAAAGTATTCTTGATATTCTTGGTATTCTCAGTTTTAGACGAAATATCAATGCATTCAGCAACGTCTCACAATGTGCATAAATGAATATTATCTTCCAAATATTAAAAAAACTTTTTCAACGCTATTAAGTGTAGTATTTCAATTGGTTTAATAAATGCAAAAACAATTTTGATAAAAATAACAGAAAGAAAACAGAAAAAATTAAAATAAATTTCGAAATGGTGAATGTTAAAACGAAATGGAAAAAACTTGAAATCTTTATTACCGATATCAATTTGACATTTGGTAATCACAGTATTCACATTTTTGTACAAGTAATCTTTAAATAAGTAAGTAATTGTCGTATTTGAAAATAGATAGGTATTATGACAATTCATTGGTATTCATTCATTCTCTATTGTGTCTACCCCCTAGATTTTTGTCACAAAAAACTGTTCTGAGCGAATTGAGTATCGAAATTTATGAGTGAACTGACATTTATAATAAATTATTTTTAATTTAGAATTTTGTTTAAAACCCTACCCAAATGCTGGTGGACATTGAATACATATTCACAAAAATTAGTCTGACAATGAGAATGAAATGTTTTTATAATAAGAAAATGTTCAAATTATGTTTTATTATTCCAAATTACAGTTCGGGGAATACCGTCCGATGGATTTGTCTGCTTAGATGAATCCACGCGATTGACTTATCAACGTGGAACACCAAATTTCCACAAAAACTAAGTAAAAAGGTAGCAACGTTCAACAAATTGAAAGGTATCAATGTTTAACTGATCGGATAAGCTAAAATCATTTGATAAATCAATCACGTGAATTCTAAGCGGATAGATTCATCAGACGGTATTTCAAATATATTTTAAACAACTTGTTGAGATTTTCCTTTCTTATCTTAATGTATGTGTTTATTTAGCCAAATCTGGTTTGTTTGCTTGTAGACGATCCTCAATTTCTTGTACTATTTCCATAACTTGTGTTGGTTTATTCGAAGACATTAATGGGCTCGATGCGACTGATTTCAACGATCCTCTGCGATATGGAACTGGTCTTGGTGGCTTACTTGCTCTTATTTGACTCTCAATTTCGCTTATTCTTTCTTTTACCAAAGATGTCGGGTCCGAAGAAGCAAATTTTTCCGATTTTGAAGACTCTGGAATTCGGGCTGATGCTGATCTTTTCAATAAAGGTGATTGTGTATAGACTCTTTCCGAATTTCTCTTGTCAACTTGGTTTAAACTCGCTATTAATGAACTTGAACTTGCTGTCCTTTGCCTACTGGGTGTTAGTGATGGTGTCGCAGGTGCAGATGATGGAAACGTTTTCAACGATTCTAACCGTTCAGTGTTTCAGGCTCCAATACGTCGGACCGTTTGCCACATCTGAACATTGGGAAAAATGAACGTTTTTTCCCTTTTTTGTCACCTTCCTTCTCAGACATTTCACCACCACTCACATTTGCAACGAAGTACTGTTGGGAAACGAACAATAGTTTTTAGACCAAATTTTTTAGAGAATAATTCCAATAATTTTCAAATGTACCTCACATGTCACAAACGTAACTATTATTAAAGTGAATAATTTTCGATTGAACATTTTTTCTCTTGTTGAAAAGAGTTGGATTTATAATGATTTTTAATGATTTTCTCAAGTTGTTTCGACCAATTTCCTCAATGATTCTGGTTGAAGTTTGTGAAAAAAATGCAAACTTTTCTTCTTATCATCAATTTTTAACGATTAAAACACATTTCATGTGAATGATGTAAGATAAATTTCAAAATAATTTGCTAAACACCATTGGAATTTATTATTACGCAGAATATAAATTATAATTTTTTTGGATGTGACGCTTGAAGATGATTGAAGAAATGTAAGCACTAAACAGATTGCACGTGTGTTCTTGTTTCTGAACTGGAATTTGGTAGTAAACAAAATTGATGTTTAATTTGAATCGAAGTCAGGTTTGTTTTGAATTTAATTATCGAAGTCTTATGCCTCCAAATTTTTTTACCAAAGACACTTTTGACTATTTCAAGTGAAAATGTTCAACAACATGCGTAAATTGTGAATTCGAAAAACGTGTTATTTATATTGGGCGAACAAAATGTGCTTGTTTTACATTGTTGATGACATCGTCAACATTTGAAAATAATGAATTCAAAAGATGGATTTGATAGGAAAATATTACTTTAATAAAAAATACCAAAAAATGAAGTTCGAAATACGTTTATTTCAATAATAATTTAAAATGATCGAATTATGACTTTACTTGATTAGATTAATTTTCAAGTTTCGAAACCTTAAAGGATTTTACCATCGCTATTTGGAACTCGTGGCACATCAAAGTGGCCAGTTGGTTTTGGTCTACCCAATTTCATCTTCATGGATGGCGGATCCTTTGGCATCGGGACTAATAATGGGTTTTCATTATTTTTCATGCGATTTTCAACTTCGTTTACCATTTGCGATACTACAGATGAAGGATCGCGGAAGCGGCTTGAACCAATTTTCTGCGAATTTGGAGCATTTAAGATCGATGAACTCGAGGCACGCATTGATGCTGATTTCTGCATTGACGGTAATTTTCGTGGTGCTGCAGATGGAGCTGGGGAGGGCACGAATGGTGGTAAGGGTACGGGTACCGAAGTTGAAGCTTTTTCTACTGCTAATTGTGATTGTCTGAAAACCTGATCATAAGCAGGAGATGGTGATGGGGCCACGATTGGTTTCTCAATCGCTGGTTTTGTCGGTGGTGGTCCAACCACCGATTCGATTATCAGTGGCTTCGATGGGCGTGGTGACGGTGCTGATTCCAATCTATTGGAATTTTGACCCATCATCGATGGAAAAGACGATCGTGATGGAGTAGATGCCAATGAGGATTGTGACTGTGATCGTGATAGAATTATTGGTTCCGATACCTTGTCCTTTTTACCACACCCGAATCCAATATTTGCCGAAAAGTAGTAACCTTTCTTACCCTTTCCATCGCCCTTCTTTTTATCACCAGCGTTGACATTTCCAACGAAAACCTATCGAAAATCATAATTTTCAAAATGAACATCGAATTTATTTTTGATCAAAATAATAAATAGTTTAAAGTAAATGACTTGAACGGACGGTTTTTACCTCACAAATGACGAAGCCAACCAAAATTAATGCGAACAATTTTCGTTCAAACATGTTTCTTTATCAAATTGAAAACAAAAAGAAAACGTAATTTATAAGCAGACTTTACTACACTTGTGATAAATAAATACTTACTGACAAATATTGGCGATTAACATCATTTTATATACATTTTTATAACGAGAATAATGAAAACTTTTCCATTTCGAAATTATGCGAAAAAATATCTTTGAAATTTATGTCAAAAGGTAAATAACAATTTTTTTTGGATTGAATGACGTCTGTTCTTGCCACTCAATTGATGAACAAACTGAATACAACGTAGAAGTGTTTTGTATAATTTAAAACGAAACAACAAAGTTGAAACCTATGGATAGTCGTTTTAATGCTTTCGTCACTTTATTTGAAATGTTACAAAAAATTCTCAGATAAATTAATTACTCGTTCTTCAACTTCTCTGTTCATTTCCATTTTTTCTGTTCTTCAACATCGTTGGTTCGTTGGTTCGTTGGCTTCTTTCTTCATTGCAGTCCTATCATAGCTCTAAAAATTAAGATATCATTAATGTTAATTAGGAATTCTTCGATGATAAGACACTTAGACGGAATATGAAACGATCATACCTCTTTTGCTATGAGCATAAGAGCCGTTGCTGTTGAGCCACCGGTTTGATCTAGTAAGCGCTTAAAATATCCGTCTGGTTTCTGAATCAATTCAAATGGATGATCGAATTCGACGCACTCGCCTGCATCGACCACTAGCACCTTGTCACTATCCATAATCGTATGCAATCGATGCGCAATCGTAATCACAGTGCAGTCGACAAACGTTTTTCGAATGGTCTCTTGGATCAGTTTATCCGTCTCCGAATCGACGTTTGCGGTGGCTTCATCTAAAATCAGAATTTTATTCTTGCGCAGAATGGCACGGGCCAAACACAGTAATTGACGTTGACCGGCGCTGAAATTCGATCCACCATCCAATACTTTAGTATAAATTCCACCAGGTAATGCAGATACTACCGAATTCATTTCGACTTGCTCCAGTGAATCCCACAGTTCATTATCGCTTCGCTCATCGAATGGATCCAAATTGAATCTTAGGCTGCCGGAGAATAGAACTGCTTCTTGCGGAATGATAGAGATCTTCTTGCGCAGATCATGAAGACCAATCACTCCAATATCTACGCCGTCAATCAAAATCTGTCCCTCGTTTTGTGCCAATCGAAACAGAGATTGGATTAACGAACTTTTCCCGGCACCCGTTCTACCCACCACGCCGATTTTTTGCTGAAAATTGTCAGTCATCACATATACTCGGTTTAGGAAGAGAAAATTAAATAGACTTTACCTTTGCATCGATTTGGAACGTTAAGTTGCGAAGTACTCGAGTACTTTTTTCAGCATATCGTAAGCTCAGCGATTTGAATTGGATATTTCCATGAGATGGCCAATCTTTTGGAGGAGAATTTTTCTCGTCTGAATCAAGTGGGGGCTCCGGTGGCAATTCAGCATATTCAATAATTCGCTCGACGGAAATCATTTGATTTTCTAGCTCTGCACTTTGTCGCATGCCCCACTGAGAAAGTAGAATAAGATTTATACTGCTTAAAATTGCTAGACCTACTTTGCCACTCTCCATTGCTGAAATTTGGGGAAAAATGTCAATTACATTTGTTCAATGAAAATATAAAAGCGTCTCCAAAAAACCTTACGCAGAAGTAGAAAGCTGAAAGTAACGAGGGTTATATATAAAAGGCACACCATATCCAACCAGAAAGCAAACCACCTCGATGCGCATATGAAGAGATAAAAGCTTGATGAGTTATGATCTTGAAACTCATGGAACTCTTTCTCCAGAATTTTACCGGCATCAAATGCATGAATTGTTGGTAGTCCCTGAAGTGTGGCATTCATGTGCGAAAATATCGGACTACGACCTGCATTGAAATTGATTTAAAGAGTTTATTTCAATCAAAATATCATAATTTTCGAAAAAAGCTTACTCAAAGCTTCAATTCGCTTAAAACTTCGTCCGGTTTTGACGAATAACACACGCATTAAATAGAATAGAATGGTCATTATTATAGCTGGAATGAGTAACCATGGATTAACAATCGCTGTGATCACCACTATGGCCACATATTGTAAAATAAACTGAAATGAAATGATCGTGTAACGAATCAGAAAAAGAAAATTATATTTTCCTTCAAAAAATTTAGAATTTAGCTCACGTCTAAGACATCGACTATGGTATTTGGCAGCAGAGAGTCAACACTATTTATATCGCTTGCGAAGCGATTAAGTATTCGCCCGCTCGGATTATTATTGAAGAAAATCATTTTGGCTCGTGAAATGCCATGGAAAATCATGTCATGCAAATTAATCGATATACGCAAGCACATTTGGAAAAATGAAAATGAGCGACCCGTGTAGCAAATGGCACACATCAACATGATTCCACTGTAAATATAAATATACATCTCGCGATCCTCTGACACGTTTGAAACTTGGTTCTTCACTCTTTCCTCCCAATTGGCCCTGCAATCGATGAGAAATCGTTTTAAGATGAAAAGAATCCTTTTGTTTAAAGTTAAGAAAGGTAAATGATTAAAAACCATTCAGATAAAAAGTAGTCAGCACCACTCCAGGCCAATTGGGCGACAATGAACAAAACGAAAACGATGAACACAAAACAGGAACTATGGGCACTTTGGACAAATGTTTTATAAATACTGAAAGTAATTGATCCACTCTTTTGGAGCTCTTTGCGTTCGTTTTGGTTATGTTCAACTTCTTCACTGCAGAATGACGCCGTCGATGATCGCTTGCGGGTCTGAAAATTGGATTTAATTTACAAATTTCGATAATTGAAAGATGTTTGGAATTTACCCCATTCTGAAATATATCTTTTTCATTCTCATTGTCTTTTTCTTCTTCTCCTTCTCCTTCTTCTTGAGCAAATGTCAGCGATATCTTACTGAGGTTTTCCAATGTTTGGAATGATCCCTCCACCTCCACTTTGCCGTTGTTCATCAGAATCACATGCCTCTCGTTCTTCAAATACTGCAATTGATGTGTGACGAGCACACAGATTTTGTCGCTCAGAAACTCTTTTATACATCTTTCAAAGATGTGCTTGCCGACGTGTGCATCGACAGCTGATAATGGATCGTCAAGCAAATAGATATCAGATTGTTTATAGATAGCTCGAGCCAAATTCACACGAGCCTTTTGTCCGCCACTCAGCGATGACCCCTGCTCACCCACTATGGTTGCGTCTCCTTGCGGAAGCATCTTGAAGTCTCGCTCCAGAGCACACACTTCGACCACCCGATTGTAGCGTTGCTCGTCAAAATCTTCGACGAATATGATGTTATTACGAACGCTTCCGTCGAACAACCATGGGCCTTGAGATGCATAACTGATTGATCCATTGATGATAATCGAACCCACGTCCAATTCCAATTCGCCCAAAATTATATTCAACAACGTTGATTTACCGGATCCAACTTTCCCGACAACCGCACACAGTCCGGGATTGATTTCGACGTTCACATCGAATATGCCATTCCGTTGTTGACTTTCATTTTGCTCCCATACTGCGGTGACGTTCTCAAGTCGAATACACTTTTCGGAGCTGTTTATGTTTTGAACACGTTTGCTGGCAGCAGAGATCATATGCTTCTTCTCGGTGTAAGCAATCCAAGGCTGTTTGATAATGATGGGGAAAATGTAAGATATGGTGTCAATGATACCAAACTGATATTATTTTTAAGAAATACCATCCTTTAAACTTCTACATTCTAAATTTTCTACATTCTAAATCAAATCCGTTCACTGACCCAAAAGTTACAGAGATTGAAAGAGAGCAATCATCGATGCCTCAAAATACATCTTAATTCCCAAATTCATTGCTTTATTTGGGAGGAGAGCAATTATATTGAACTATTCTTCCAGTCAAGGCACAGATAGAGGTCCCACCAAGCCACACCAGAAATAACAAAATGATTCGTTTTTTCAAAAAAGGGGACATTTGATCTTTAGGGGGGCAACTGACCTCCCTCCCCTCCCCTGTGGACGCCCCAGAGTATTACTATCCTTTTTACGGTGTTCCGAGGAAGTTTTTATGACCATTTAGAATGTAGAGGTTAGTAGTATGACACTTCTTAAAAATAATAGATATCATTTTGGTACCAATGACACCATATCTTACATTTTCCCCGTCATTATCAAACACTGTTGTATTTTCCATTCCAATCTCTTGGTTTATCGATAAGTCAACATGTTTACCGTTTTTTTCTTCGAACATCGTGTTGTTATTGTTTTCATTCTTTAATTCTTCCACTTTTTTGTTCAATTTTTCCGCGCCTTTCGTTTCCGGCCTCAGAAGAAACTCTTGAAGTCGCTTTATTGATATGTTTGCTTCAGCACTGAAATTTCCGAAAATTTTACAAAATTTTATGGTTTTAGTATAAAATACACTGCCAAAGTACTATGAGTAATACTTGATAAATCGATGCATAAACGAGTGGAATTCAAAAAAAAATTATATAAAATTATATGCGACCCAGTCCCTGACGATTTCGAAAGGGCATCTAAATAGCTACACTAGGGGCTTTTATGTATTCGTTCATACAAATTTATACACAATATTCACGTCCAATTCATCATATACACGATTAAAATTTCTCGCCTATACTAGTGAATTAAGCGTATTTTATACTGTAGTGTACACACCTAGGGGAAAATATCGAATAAAATAAGTTACGAATATGCTGCGTATAAGAATATAAGCCGTATATACCGAAGAATATTTGCAAATAATATTTGCAAATAACTCCGTATTTATGTGGTTTATACGCATATATGCAGCGTATATGCGGCATACTTGCGATGTCTTCATTCATTTATAGTATATTCGGTAAAAAAATACTTGAGTATAAACCGTATAAACGTATAGATAATTCCCCCTAGGTACACACACAGAAAATCGAAGAAGATCCGCACGAAAGAGAATGAAAAAAATGATAATACAATGAAATGATATACATCAATATGACTTACGTTTGCGTGATTGCAATTGGAAAGATGTAAACCAGTGATTGATTCAAAAAGTTGAAGTAAGATGAAACCATGAACACTTTTCGGGTGGTGATTTCATTTTCGAAGTAAACATATGAAATCAAACTGAGAAATATCGACACTTTTGGTATCATTTTGAATGAGTTGATTGTCGCCCGAATATATGAAATTGAACGAATGGCTTTCACTTCCTTTCTGAAATTTAATTAAAAGATTGGAATATGTTGGAGAGCTGTTTGAGAATTTTTACCTACTTTCTAATTTGATCGACCATTTTCGCGAACGATTTCTCCCACGAATACATTTTAATCACTTGGATCCCTTGCAAAATTTCGTTCATAATTTTAACACGAATATCCGTTCGTTTTGTGTTTTTCATTCGCAACTGACCCGATTTCTTGCCAATCCAAGCTATTAATGCATAAGGTATTATTATTCACAAGGAAGTCATAAGATTATTAAATTGTATATTCTTACCTTGCAGTGGAACGAAAAGAGCTAAAAATGCCATGCCAATGATGGCATAGTGGCCGATTTCTATATAAATTGCCACGAAAAATGCGAATGCTTGCATTGGTCCTCTCCAAAGCTCGACCAAATATCTAAGTCCATTATTGAATTTCGTCAAATCATTCGATAATAAATTGATAATTTTTCCATTTTGACCATCTTCAGTCGATGACTTCAAGAGACGCAAAGATTTTAGATAAATTAATCCACTACACGCTGCACGTACTTTGCAAGCGGTTTTAAATATAAATAAAAAAAACGGGTGATATGTTGCTGTAATGTAAGCCGTTGTGATGACAATACCAGATGCGTACCAATATGCATCATTCAATGAGACATTGCCACTCTTAGAAAAGTATTCAACGAAACCACCCAAACAAATCGGCTGGATGACTCTATAAAAAGTGATTGCAATTGGACAATTCAAGCGGCATTGAAATGAGTGAGAATGCTTAATATTTACTTCGCAAGTGTTTCTCCCAAACAGTATAGCACTCCAAGTGTAAACACCTTGAAACCGTGCACTTTTAACATCACCCGCACAATGCTTGGATTCCTTTTTTGCAGCTCTAATTCCCATAGTTTTGCAAATGTCTCAGTATTTCGATCGCTTCGCAAGCTATTTGTCACCTCATAGATGTCTTCTGATTCAATTGTTCGCCTCATTCCAATTGAAAACATTGGCTTTAGCCACCTGAAAAATCACCGACATGATTTAAAATATTTTTGCGCAATTGTCCTAGATGCTGCTATTGTTATAGCATACGGGCAGTTAGCTCGAACTAACGTCTGTTTTTAAATGGGAAAAGTCACTTACCAAAAGGTTAGTTTTGACAGAATTGAAGCCTTTGAAATAGGATTTGGTTGTCGCAATATCTTTTTTCGGTGACGATTCATTTTATATACTTGTTATTCTTAACGGATGGATTTTGAGTAAAAAACACGTTTCTAATTTACGCTTTAAATTTTTCAAGTAAAGACGGAAGTATTTTTACACAGTTTTAATGGAACAATAAAGAACACACTGGCATTGTCATTAGCTAAACGCAATTTTTTCTTCATACTCCAAACGAAATAAAATGAAAAGATTAATTGTGTAATTGTTTTAATCATCCGAAATAAAACAAGATCTACCGTCAATTCAAACAGGCTATCATCAACGTTTTTTATATATTCCATACATGTGCACGCCTTCAATCGTCAAATAGCCAATGTTTATGAGACAATAATAATAGGAATAAAAAGTATATTAGACTTTCAGTTTCATTTGTATCTAATCGTTTTATTCGTGTTGTCGAAATGACATTAAAATTACAAAGCAAAAATGATGTAAGTAATCTTAGAATTTCCTTCCAAATGATAGTTTGCCCAAATGTATTGTAATCACTCTCTTAGCAACGCCGTTGTCTCATTGCTGCATTGCAGTCTTATCATAGCTCTAAAAAACATTCCAGGAAACGTAGGTTCGGTAACATTTTCATGTGTATTTTACTATCTTACATACAAAATAATAACTTTACAAAACTAGATGGTGATTCGTTTAGAATTTGTATGCAGATTTTGTCGTTTAGTTTTAAAAAATCGTTTAGCAAATATTCTGAATAAAATTACATTCAGAATATTGCTTGATGTATCATGTAGCTATCATCATAAAACCTATTTTTTCGGATTCCTGAGTCCAATCAACAAATAATATATTTTTCTATTTGGAAAATTCGTCCAGGAAAAATATTTTCCTTGCAAATGAAGTTTTTCCTAAGAGTTTGTATGGGAATCTGAAAACAACTTGATTTGTACCTTCTAACTCGAGTTTAAATTGTACGATTTTGCTCAGCTTGTAGCTCTTCAGATGCCCTTTCGAAAAAACATACTCAGAACACCCGATCGACCTTGTTTCAAGTGGCTCTAGTACAACAAACTACCGAATTTGTGTGTGTTTTCAAAAATTTTTTGACGAAAGTCGATATGGCTCGGATTCAATCTATAATTTTGATTAGTTTGGTTATTTTTTCTGCGGATCCTTCTGGAGCTTCGAAATTATTTTTGAATTCCACTCGTTTATGCATCGATACATCAAGCATTACTTCCAAGTACTTTGGCAGTGTACAATGTACAGCCTTCACACATATTACTTTAGTAACATATTACTCTATTACAATACCGAAAAATCACGACGAATTATATTTGACGAATTCTGAATTAAATCATTCCAATTGAATTTATAATAAATGAAGAAAATTATATGTAAAAATGTATGTGGTAAAATTGTGAAAATTCACAAAATTGATTATGCAAAAATTAAATTATCATTTTTTCTCTCTTTTCTGAGAGTAATACATTTTTTTTCATTACAATAATAAGAAAATATTTTTTGTGTAATAATTATTGCGAGGTTATCTTATTTTATTACAGTAATAAGAATTTTTTTAATTAATTAATAAGTTTTTTTTCTTATTAGTAATTAAAAAAAAATTATTACCGGTAATAAAAAAGTATTTTATTACCTTATTACATTTTTGTAAGATTTTCGACCTTTTTGTTAGCACGAAAACACATTTTTGTGTTTTTATCATAGCCGTGGTCTATCTGTTACCGAAAACACTTACGCGTTCCCTGTTTGCATTAAATCGAACTAATCGGTCCCAAATGTTTTTTGTTGAATCGCGCACAGTCACAATGATAAAAATCAGAAAAATAATTTGGAAAAGTAAAAATAAATAAATTTTAAAATTTTTCAATGGAAATTAATTTTCTTTCTAATTTTGTGAGATTCTGTGTTCACAATATTTAAAAATATTAAATTAGAAAATTAAAACAAACTTATCTGTCCTAAACTGTGCCAATGTTTATATTTTTGAGCAGTGCTGCCAACATATGTTATGAATTCAAAAGTTATAAATGTAAAGTAGCGTCGAGTAAAGTATTAGAGAAATTATTTTTTGTAAATGTGAAAACTTAATTTTTTTTAATTTGATTTTTTTTTTTAAATATGTATTGATTAATTAATGTGGTTGATGTAACATAACTTTTAATAATAAAGTGTCGTTATGTTAATCACATATTTTTTTTCAATTGATTATTAATTTAATATTTACGGCACCTTTATTTTTAGTTGAAATTTTATCAAACTTAGTGATATTACTATAAAATAAGATTCACAAGTTTTCATGGTGATTGGGTCACTGCAATTTTCCATGATTTTCCAGTAAAATGTACCTCCTTTCCTTTCAAGTCGCTGTCTTATATCATATAAGTTATATGGAACCTCAAGTTGAAAATTCCTTCATATCTTGAATCTGGGGACTATAAGACATGTTTTCTCAAGTGGCCATCAAGATATGCCTCGAAATTCAAAAAAATGTTCCACCCTAATAAAGAGTCTTACGGGAGTAGAAAAGACGAACTTTTCCGCACGGTGCTAGTTGCGTATTTTATTATGATGATGTTATTTTGAAGGTTCATTTTAGGTACAATTATTATCAGCTATAAAACTTTAAAAAATATCTTTGAGTTTTGTTTTCGTCATTCTATCACAATATTGATTTAGCCCGAAATGTGGGCTCCAAATATTATCCAAACGAGTAAGGTACAATTAAAAATAAATTGAAGTACAGTTAAGTACATTTTTGGTACAATTATTATCAGCAATAAAATTTTGAAAAATATCGTTGATTTTCATTTTTGCCATTTTTTCGGGAAATCCCCCGTGAATTTTGAAGGACATGCCCTGCAGAAGAACACCATCGAAGTAATGACTTCATGAAAGAGGTGTAATGCGCTCAATAAGCGTAATGCTTTGTTTGCCGAACTTCGTATAGACAGTGCCATCTATATATAGAATGGGATATTATTTCACAAGTTTGAGAATGAGCGCATATGTTATTCCAAAAATGGTTGAAAAATAAATTAATAAATTGTTTCATTTTTTTGTTTTGAAAATGAAGTTAGCACAATTAGCATTAGATAATTTCTATTCAAAAAAAAATAAATTTATATGCGTTTTAATTTAACTTAAAAAGCCTCGGGTGTAGTGTAGAGTTTGTAGAACTTGTAGAAATGATATTGTTAAAATCTCCATACGTAAACTCATAAGTGTGAGTGTGACATTTGACAGATAGATACAAAACGTAATGTTATTGTTCTCTTACATACTTGTCATACACTCGTGCGAATTATTTTGTTCTGTTAAGTTCGTTTATTCCGTTCATTTATTTTATTTATATTCTTAATCTCGCAATCACATCGCTAAATTGCGTAAAAATGGCAGATTCTATTAACAGTTTTATTGATCTTGACACCGGCTGTATAAAATGTCCTGATGGAGACTTTACTTTTATATTAAACTTTATTCTGTTTAGTTCGCCAAAAGATAAAGTGAGGGCGTTAGTATGACAGATTTCATATAAAAAAGCTACTGTATTAGAGATCTTCTTTATGGTGATGTTATTTTGAAGGTACATTTTAGGTACAATTATTATCAGCCATAAAAATTTTAAAAATATGTTTGAGTTTTATTTTGGCTAGTTGACCGGCAAATTGAAGTGCCCCGAAATTTGAACCTCAAATATTAGCCAAACGAGTAAGGTACAATTAAAAATAAATTGCGGTACAATTAAGTACATTTTTGGTACAATTATTTAAACCTAGTCCCAAGTTTCGACTTTCACATGTGCGAACATTCGAATATACATTCCGTATTTTATTAAGAAAGTTCAAAATAATATTTGTTCGATTTTTCAAGCCTTTCAAGCGTCGTAAAGTTCGAAACCAAAAAATATGTCTCAACTTTGGCAACGAAATATTCTTTAATTTAATAGCAGAAGTACCCGAGAAAAGATTTTTCACACTTTCATGATGAACCCATATGTACGAGATTTGAAAGTATTCTATTTTCTAACAAAATACTATAAAAAATATGTCTGACGTTAATTTTGCCATAAAAATTATTTTTGAAACACTTTTCATAACTAAAGTCACAAAAAATTTGGATCTTTGTATGGGAGCCACACCCGGTACGACTACCCGAATGGTTCATTTGCGGACTTAAACGGAGATGTTGCGGAGCTGTGTGGAGATAGACATGAACAGTATTGAAGAACATGCGTAAGCATAGTAACCATTGCGCGCACACAAATAAAGATTTACACTCGTCTGTTGTATACTGTTCACGCCTCTTGCATACTGTTCATATCTATCTCCACACAGCTCCGCAACATCTCCGTTTAAGTCCGCAAATGAACCATTCGGGTAAGACATATATCTGTCCCCTTAGCTACAAACAACCACCGGCGGTCAGATATGTTATATATGTGTCATATATCCATAACATTGCTTTGACGTCTTACCTCAACAAAGGACTCTGTATTCTAAATCGAATGATGAAATCTATTTCCAATGTGACATCAAATATTTTTCCGATCGAAATGTTGTTGGAATATCCACAGTAAATTTTATCAACACTCTGTTATTTCGAAATTAAAACAAAAATGAACACAAAACCAACTGTGAATATATCCATTCCACAGCAAACAGCGAACACACAAAATTGTTGAAATTGAAATGACAATAAAACCAATTGATCACCCAAACCACGCTTCAAACACTCTCATATACAGTATGTTTCATTATAGAGAGAGGTTGATTTAACTACCACAAATTTCAAATATCCTAAAAATGTTTTTGGTGTTGCCATATGAGACTCTAAGCTACTACGCCAATTAACAATGACAGCTTTCAAATCAGTACAGTGTTTGTTGTGCAACGAAAACATTATTTCCGAACATTTTCATTCACGGTTTGAAGCCGTTTTTCTGCATTTGCATCCAAAAGGACAAAGAATGTCGATCACATCGACTGCTAAATACATTAAAAAGTCAAAAGGGTTCGTAATAAAGTGAATCCAGCAGTATAAGCATGAAAAAAAAGTGAACGACCAGCCCAATCTGAAGCCAAACTGAGCCTCCTCGCAACAGGAAGATAAACGGAGAGTCAAGTTGTTCGATAAAAATTTAGG